TATATATATATATATATATATATATATATATATATATATATTTGTTTTCGTAGATTTTCACGGGTGTAGATATGCTGGTCTGGTTGTATTCGGTCTTTTCCCGTGTAAGATTCAGATTGTCTTGACAATGTTTCATCGAAGTCTCTCTCGCCATCTTCAGGCTGGGTTTTGGGCTTAAAGCCCTATACATACATACATACATACATACATACATACATACATACATACATACATACAGAAAGAGGAAAGAATGGGCAGTAGAAAAATATATTCAGAGGAGGTAGGAATTATCATTTTTCTACTGCCTATTCTTTCCTCTTTCTTTATTTGAGTCTAGTGGCTTTCATTTTTGTCATTCTGTTTAGGAGCCCTAGAGGAAACTGAGTGCATTTCCTCTTCCCCACAGCTGCTTTGTTTGCAGAGGAGCCCGATCAGGATTTGTGTTCCTGGCAGGAAGCTGTTTCAGCTGGAGGAGAAAGGGTGTGTTTGTGAAAACCAGAGCTCACAAAAGTGTCTCATTAGCTTTCTCATTTAGTGCATCACACCAGAGCCTCAGCTGCACTGTCAACAATGGCAACTAGAGAACTCAGTCTCAGGGCTCATCCCCTCGCCATCAGAAAAATAATGAGGCAGTTTGATCATAAATAAAAATGAAAAAGCCTAAAAGCAATACCCAAGTTCCATGTGTGATAATAAATCCACTCTCACTTGCTGCGCAATTCATAAAATCGTTCCCTTTCTCTCTTTCCCTCCCCCACCTTCCATGTTTGACAGCTGAGCCTGAATATACCTCCCCATTGTGTTCTGGCCCTGTGCTGCTCTGAGGCACGCAGCATAGAGGAAATGTAAAATAGCAACAGGCAGAAAATATAATGGCACAATGACAAGTCTGGCTAGTAGCATAGGAATTGTTTTTAGCCTATTTACAGAGCTTATGTTAGATCCACATATGTACCAATCATCCAACTAATTATGATAATTCTAAAATATGTTTTAACTCACTAGGCACTGAAATGCTTTTGGATGAACAAGCTTACACAATCTAGTAAAACTTTTCAGATACTGAAAACACAACAAGGTTAACTTTTTTTTTTTGAAAGATATGGCATTTCAGCAAAGAGAATTAATTATGTAAATTGATATGTTGTGATTGATATTTTGGCCAGGATTTAAGAGATGTTTGTCCATTGGGAAATAAAATCAAATGACACAATTACTGTTTTTACATTTGTAATTTATGTAATACAGTAATGCCATTGAATATACTGTATATTGCACTGATGAGGTCAAGCCACCGCCAAAAACAAATTATAATTATAATGTATTTGTATTCCTATAGATATGTATTTTAACATAAAAATGTCTCTGAACTCTTCCAAAATGTCATTTTGATACATCTTATCTCATATCTGAACTCTTTGCTTTCCTTCCTTCTCTTACTGACAAATATTACCAGACATCGTACCAGTAGCAGACCATTCACATACTGTTTTTTTTTACCAACTTACCATAAGACTTCCATTTACTCAGTAATTTATATATTTATATATCATATATAAAAACTGCCCATCTCCCTCATAGAGTGATTCTGGATGCTTGATTAATAGACATAAACATAAAAGCTGTATAAAATATTATATTAAAAGCAATTAAAATAGGAATAAAATAATTAAAGTTTAAGATTAAATAGGTGGGGTATGGGCTTTAAGGCACTAGCCTAATGATATAATGGAGCAAATCCAGCTTTGCAAGTTATCAAGCCTATGCCATGTAGGGTTTTAAAAGTCATAACTAACATCTTGAATTGGACCTGGAAGCAAATCAGCACCCAATGCAACTCATGCAGCAGAAGTGTTACATGCACTAAACTTGTCATACAAGAAGCCTAGCAAAAAAGGAGATCTCATTGGAGAATAATAATTAAACTTGTTGAAAAAGGAAACTTAACCTTTATTCATAGGAGTTGCGTAACACATTTTTTTTACTATTTTATGACAACTCTGGTTTTGGTGAAAACTAAAACTGTTAAGAGCTGTAAGAATCTCTCTTCAAATTTGATGAATAATGACAAACAGCACATATGAATAACTTTAAATAATTACAAAGTGATGCATATATAGGTTTAAAGTCCCTTCACATACATACACACACACACACACACACACACACACACACACACATACATACATGCCAGTGGTAGGATTCACTTACCTTCCCTACTGGTGCACAAATATGAGCGCATGTGCCACATCTGTGCATGTACACTGCCTTCTGCGCTTGCGCAGAATGTCTTGCATTACATCGGGGGAGGGGGCATGGAGCCTCTTGCAGCCACCACTACTGGTGGCTGAATACCACCACTGCGCGCACGCACACACACACACACTAGTTTTCTGCAACAAATCAGAAAAAAAGTCTTTGGGTCAAAGGGAAGATGAAGATGTTGACTCAGTGCAGGGACGTGCAGTTAGGGGAGGCAGAGCCTCACCACTGTCATCATGAAAAGAAAAAAAAATGTAAAAGGAAAAAGGCAAGAGCTGAGGTCAGGCTGAGCTAGTTGCTGCCAGAGTCAACGTGGATGACTCTGCTTAGTGCTTAACTGTTTAAAAAAGCCTCTAAAAAGTGCCCTCTACAGGAGGAGGCGGGAGAACAACGTGCCTCATCTAGTCTGGGTTAACCCTTAAGCAAGGGTTAAAAGCCAAAGAATTTCTGATGTAGATGAGGCACGTTGTTCTCCCGCATCCTCCTGTAGAGGGCACTTTTTTAGAGGCTTTTTTAAACAGTTAAGCACTAAGCAGAGTCATCCACGTTGACTGGCAGCAACTAGCTCAACCTGACCTCAGCTCTTGCCTTTTTCCTTTTACATTTTTTTTCTTTTCATGATGGCAGGCAACAGCAGAGTTGAAATCCTCTCTGAAACAGCTGGAAAAGGTACGTGTGGGTCGGAGGGAGGGGGAGGAATTCAAACTTCATCCTCCTGGTGTGGGGCTTTGGGCAAAGGCTGGAGGGAAGTACTCTCCCTCCCCAAGTGCAGTTTGATTGCAGGCAGAGCCACGTTGTCTTTTCAAACCTGTAATCAGTGAAGCTGGGCTGGATCCTTCCGGAGCTGGGGGAAAATGTGTGTGCGCTCCAGTATGGCTCTTTGACTGGCTTCCTACCTCCTCCTGTGGTCTCCCTGACTCCCTCCAATCCAACTGTGTGTGTGTGTGTGTGTGTGTTTGAGAGGGGGGAGGGGGAAAGGAGGGAGGAAGGAGGGGAAGGGAGAAGAAAAAGAATGAAGGGAACTTATTTAGCAAAGGAGAAAAACAAATGCTGTCGCTTTAAATCGGAACTGAGCATGCCTGGCTGTGTAATTCTGGGAGTTGAAGTCCACAAGTCTAAAAAAATTGCTGCCTCACCAGCCATAAACCTCACTGCACGTCACTGACTCAGTGTGTGGCACTTGTGAAAAGGGCAAATTCCTTCCTAGGTATCATTAGAAAGGGGATTGAAAATAAACCTGGAGTACTATTTGTCAATTCTTCAAAGTAGGTGAGATAAAAAAAACAAGCACAGTAGGGATTAAGGGAATATAGTTCATTGTTATAGGGTAGAATAACAGAATCTTAAAAAGCTGTTAATCGTAGTCTTTACTCCATTTTATACCAAGCAAAAGGTGGTAGTTTATTTGAGTTTCTTCCTCCTGTTTTCCTCTTTTACCAGGATTTAATAATCTTTCCTGAAACTCTTTTGACCATAAAATTGGACAAATTGTATAAATTTATGAAAGATGGAGCTGTTGAATTCTACTAGCCTTGACAATTCAGTGTTAATCTTCATGTTGCATAGAAAGTGCTTCCAAATATCAGTTTCATGGAAGCAACAATGAAAAGGACTTTTGTCTCTTCCTCTTCTTTCTCAGCAATTGGTTTGGCTACTGAGAAAGTGAAAACTGGGTGAAAATGGCCTTGGCCTGATCCAATATGAATATGCATTCCTCTATCAGCATAGGCCTCTGAAGCTACAAATACATTTTGACAAATAAATGACAAACCTTTTCATGGAAGTAGAGAAGCAAATGACTCCTACTCTGCTTTTCACCACTTTGGGCTTGAATATTGCAATATTAAATATTTGGGGACTTCTGAATTGACTTTTGTCTCTTTTCTGGTTTATTACAAACCATAGCAAAGCTGGTGCAATCTTTCGAGAGATCAGTTTTGTCAAAGATAACAACTTTTTTCTCAGCCTGCATCCTGGCCCCTGGATTAAAAACAGCGATAAAATTTTCCCTCTTTCTGTATACTTTATATAAATTCACTGCTCCCCAAATTCAGCAATCATATCATATCAACATGATCACATCTGTTTCAGAAAATACCTGGTTGTAAAACAGTTGAAAAAAACTTACTTTACAAGTTTCAAAGGCCTTTAAATTCAGCAGAAGAATGGTGGCAAAGTAACCAATAAGCTTTTGACGTTTTGTTCATATTTTGTTTCTTTTTTTCTTATTTTTTACAACCAAACCTCTTTCTATTGTTTTTGGGTTTTTTTGGCATTGTTTGAGACTATTTGTCAGAAATATTTAATCCATAACCATGACTGCTCAGTGTAATGAATGATGTTCATTGTGTCTTTACTGTTGGACTTCTACTATTACTGTATTTTTCAGAGTATACGATGCTCTGGAGTATAAGACACACCATAGTTTTTGGAGAGGAAAATAGGGGAAAAAATTCTGACTACCGGGTATTCATCTGGCTAGCGTCCACTCTATTAGAAGAGACGTATCAGGTTAGTACCAACGCCCTTTTTCAGCCTCCTTGGGGCTGAAAAGCAGCTTCTAAATCATCGCAGGGAGATGCAATTAGTAAAGCAGGTGAAATGCAGAAGAGATAAGAGAAGGCAGCAACTGTTCTGGGTTGCCATTTTGGGCTCGCGCTCGCATTTTCAGCCTCCAAATTTTCCGATTGCCGCCCAAAAACACATCTGTACTTCTATATTTTGTGCAGAGGCGGCGATTGGTGGTGATGTAGTCTGGCGATCCCAGCAACCTTAAATGGATCTCAAATGGAGTGCTAGGAGACCGAAAATGCAAGGCATTGTCTGTGGCAATTTCTGCAGCAGGAAGAGGACGGCAGAGGCTGACAGGTGGGGTCAGTGGGTGGGCGGGACTACATTCAGAATATAAGACATACCCAAATTTTCAGCCTCTTTTTTGTGGGGGGGGAAGTGCCCTTTATACTCCAAAAGAAATGGTAATTGAGCGGTAGAAAAGAAAGTAGGCATTGATTGGTTCATGATGTTATTTGCATGTTGTCTGTCAAGTGCATAATACTGTATTTTTGAAGCAGCAACCTGCTCACTGATCACTTTCATGGTATTTTATGATGGACTATATGAAAATTACTTTTAAGCTATAGTACTTAACCATTTTGTTTATGATACAGTGGCCAAGGTCACCCACATCATAGGCACAGGAAAGGACCCACACAGTGGCTGTAGCATAAACAGGACATGAGCAAGCAGGATATTATTGAATACTGCCAAGAGAATTAGAAGTTAAATAAAGTAGTCCAATTCAAAGAATGTATCACAAAGAGAAGCACTTTGTTCCCACTCCAATTCCAAGCATGAAATGAGTTCCAAGACTGAACATGGATAGTAGATTTGGTATTTATTTCATTTCCAATGCAAAAATGTCAAAAGAGCAAAATTGTTGAGAATTCTTTCATGGCATAGCAAACAATCATAGAACTAATAAAATGATATTTGCTACTCACTAAAGTTTTTTTAATGGTGCAATACTATTTATGCCAGTGTAAAAGCATCTTTACCTTGAGACGTATTTTACTCCTCAATGTTATGAACAAAAACAACAAAGCCCATATATTTTTAGTCCATTAGTCTGACAGAAATTTATGTTTTCACTAATGCCACCTTTATATGGTGCCTGCTACTTTTGCTTCCCTCTGTGACCCTTTCTTTGCTTGTGTTGTTATTACTGATAAGATTTTGTTTACCCCAAGGCTGTTTCTGTGTTTTGAAAATACTTTTGCTCTGCATTTATTTGTCTTCCTAATGTCTCCAAACTTTTTAGCTTTGTAATAACATTAGTGTTACAAAGTGCTATAGTGCTAAAAAAGAGGCAGTGGGTTGTTTCTTTTCAGGTGGACATAATAAAGTATGACCTGACCATCCTATTTCTCCATCCCTTAAAAAGCTTTTTTTTCACGCAGTACTCTGGAAAGTGTGGTGATAATCAAAAAGGAGCAACACTTGAAAATGAAAGATCCATTCACCTGCGATACAAACAAGAGGGGTTTTGTTTTCAGTTCTTCACAAATTTAGACTGAACTTCCACTGGCTTGACCATTCCATCCAGGTTTAATTTACAACTATTCTTGATTCTGCTTCAGTTATCTGAAGACAAATTGCAAATCTTAATGTTTTGCATTTGCTATGCTCAAAATTTATTACAACACAGTTTATTTCCAACTTCTCCAGATATGTTCAGTATCCTTCAAATTAAAATATTCCTGTTTTCCAGAAGACCATAAATTACTCACTATTTGCTTGATTGTTTTAAGTTTATCTTGTGACATGTTAAAATTACTACTACAAATCTTGTATAATTATGTTGATCATTTACCACATGCCTTTGTAAGGCCACACTTGGAATACTGCATGCAGTTTTGGTCGCCACGATGTAAAACAGATGTTGAAACTCTAAGAAGTGTCCAGAGAAGAGTAACAAGGATGATTAGGGGACTGAAAGCTAAAATATATAAAGAATGGATGCTGGAATTGGGTATGTTTAGTTTAATGAAAAAGAGGACTCAGGGTGACATGATAGCAGTGTTCCAATATCTCAGCGATTGCCACAAAGAAGAGGAGCTCAATCTATTCTCCAAAGCACCTGAGGACAAGAAGCAATGGATAGAAACTAATCAAGGAGAGAAGCAACTTAGAACTAAGGACAAATTTCCTGACAACTAGAACAATTAATCAATGGAATAACTTTCATCCAGAAGAATGCTGCAACACTGGAAGTTTTTAAGAAGAGATTGGACAACCATTTGTGTGAAATGGTATAGAGTTTCCTGCCTAAACAGCTGGTTGAAGATTTCCAAGGTCACTTCCGACTCTGTTACTGTATTCCAGTGATGGCTAACCTTTTCCGGACTGAGTGCCCAAAGTGCATGCATGCACATGAGTGCATGCCCCCTGCACCCCGCACATGCACTGCAGAGACTCAAAGACTAGCTGGCCAGTGGGAGGCGCACACGCATGTGTGCCACAGCTGAACTGGGGCGATGCCTCCCATGCCCACAGAGAGCGCACTGTGTGCCTCTTCTGACACGCATGCCATAGATTCACCATCACCTACTCTATTCTATTTTAGTCTAGTCTATTCTATTCTAATGACCCTTATGATCTTATGATCTAATGATAAGAAACTTAAATACTGAACTCATTTCAGTCAGACTTAAAACTATCTTGAAATAAAAGGTTACAAAATACCCCCTGTCCTAGATTTCAGTTATTTGCTGTTGCCATCTGCTTCCTTTTATTCTCTGAGGGAATCACATGTACGCAATCATCTAAAGTTTTACACACATGTAAGTTAATACTTTTGTAGCATCTTAGAGATTGCCGATTTTGTATTGCTGTGTCGCAAAAGTTTTTATAGGCCCCAATCTAGTTTACCAAATCATTGGTAGACGAGGAAATACACAAAGTGATTAGCAGTGAACATTATTGCTATTTACAGCCTTTTATTTTACCCTCCCACTGACCTGCTTGCAAGCTACTCAAAACTTGTGACTTCCTGCTAGCTTCCCTATTGACTTTTTTTGAAGGAAGCCAGCAGGAAGTTCTATGAAGGTTTTCACTTAATGGCCTATGATCTTGCTTAACAATGGCAATGGACAAAGCAATGTCATGTAATGTTGTACTTCACGCATGTGTGCCAGAGTTGAACTGGGGCAACGCCTTGCGTGCCCACAGAGAGGGCACTGAGTGCCTCTTCTGACACGTCACTAAATGATGGAAATTCCAGTTCTAATTACCATTGTTAAACAATTACTAGCAGTATTGGGTTCAAGGAAAGGTTTATCCTAAAATAGCCACATAATCCCTTTTATACATTATAATGTATTCTACATATATCACTTTAAATCTTCAATTTCAGAGATTTCTTTACAAGAAAGTAATGGTTTTCCCTATAAATATAAATACATCTGTACTTCTATGTTTTGTGCATAGATTTTATAAAGCTTCAGCATCGCCCCAATTTATCAGCATAATCTTCCTATAAAGATATGAATCCAAGTTGGCAGGGAGATGAGTTTTATATTGCAGCACAGATAATGCACATAATATCGTTAATTGACAACCAACTAATATGTTGGTTTAGCTAATGTTCTATTTTATATCAAGACTGATCTAAAATCTTGATTCATAATCATAGGCATTGAAGGAGATAGCTAATTCACAAAGAACGATGACTTTTTTCATACAGAAAAACAGTGAGTCAGTAGAATACCTTTTTAGAGGCTTGTGTCCCAGCTTTCTTCCAAGAGTAGAACGAATGCAGTGATTAGAATCATAGCTAGCAATGGTTATTGGCCTTCTCCATGTAATTGTTGATTTGGCAATCGAGGTAATTGAACATGCAATTAAACTATGCTAATAAAGTATCAGTAATTTTAATTCACTCCATGGAGTGTTACTCTAGTGGAATCTGGTTATTCTTTTCCTACTACCATATGTGCACAACACATATTATTTTCTTTCCATTTCCATTCACTATATTCAATTATTTTTGGAAATGAAAAGGAAACTTCTTTTTAACTCTCATAACTGATGTCAAGTCTGATATGTTACATTTACTTTGTCAGCAATATTTTTCAAACTGATTCAAAATTTGGCTTCACTTATCCACAGGTCCTTCAGGGATTGGAAATGTGGGGTGTGTTTTTTTTCCTTTTGCTGCAGGTCGCCTCTTTTAAATAGTGGTGAATTGAAGAAGTAAGCCAACCTTATTGGCTTTGTGGAAGCCTGTTCAAATCTAGCATTTTTTGCAAGAGTTAGGACCATGATGTTAGGGAAATCCAATATAAGTGTATCTGTTTTTGAAGGTCTGCATATATTACCTCAAGGATTTTAAAAATAATTACATTGTTTTAATCGGTTAGGGGGGAATATTGTTTTGTATGCACAGTTCACCACTTAATTATGTTTTTAAGGTAAGAGGATATATTAATTTTCTAAAATAAAAATTCATTGATCCTTGCTTCTTATACAGTTTGTTTGCACAAGAACATACCTTCATACACCTTCATAACTTGGGAATTAATTATATTATTTAAAGAAATCACATTGTCCAGGGTATGTAGGCATTCATTTTATGGTTAATTGTTGATTTCATTCATTGTGTTGCTCAAAATATTATTTAATTCTCTGGTAAGTAAAATCGGAATGAATTGATATTTTTGGCAGTTAGTACAAGCCATCCATTTTTAGTTACCTTCTGCTCTTACGTATGTATCTTTTTATAGCTATGAAGTAAAGATGATTTGGATTCTTCCACGGTACTATTGATGAGCTTCACTTTGGAAGGATAAAAGGGAGGCATGAAAGTTAAACATGTTTCACAGAATTATTTTCCCCTCAATTGCCTTTTGTACCAATAGCAGGTGTCCACTGAGGAAACATAAATATTTCCTCCAGCAAGTAACCACTCCACTGAAAAAAATGGGAACTTATTTAAATGGTATGTATAGCCCTGATAAGCAGGGAGCATATTTACACATGAGTGGATAAGAGATGAAATGTGTGCTCAGTTGAAAATATTTGCGCAATGGAAAAAAATACTTTGCAAGATGCTGATAATGGCTCTTAAGTGTCACTGATTTGTTAAAATCATTTGGATTGTATGAAAAGTGGACTATACACCATCAGTCATAAGTAATGTTGCAAATTGAAAAATAAGTTGGGAATTAAAATTTCAGTTTAAAATGGGCTGAATTGAGGAATAGATTAAGAGGCTGGAGTGAGTAGTCAGAACAATTTCCACAAGTATAAATGATAAAACAGGGCTTGAAACTAATCAAACACTAAATAGTCAATAAAATGAATGCCTGCACATGCAAACTGCTTTCTTCAAGTTCATATTTTTGTAATCACAATACCAGAGTCTTCTGAAGCCATGTGGTGACATAAGGAAGTGCCATCATTCAGTTTATATAAAGAGAGGCATTTGAAAGTTTGTTTTACTGCAGTTTTCTTCTCAAAAATAATGGGAAAGAAAGTCTTCAGAAATTTGTGCAGCAGTTTTTTCAGCCTCAGCAATGTTAAGATGGGTGGACTGCAATTCCCAGAATTCTGGGAACTGAAGTCTGTTCCTTTTAAAGTTGCTGAGATTGAAAAACCCTACTCTATAAAGAGTTGCTAAAAGTCCCACCGAACTGTTAGAAAAAGAGCACTTTGTGCTTCAACATCCCTGTCTTTCCCTTCCAATTTTCCCTCTTGAAACTTCCTTTGCTGATTCATTATCACAATATAATATTCATTATATTATCTTCTTCATCCTAACTTTTTTCCACAGGTGCAGAGTCTGCTTTTCATATCAACAAACACCATTTCATGCAGCAACTGGATGGTGTCCAACTGTATAATTTTCATGTCCACATTAATTGTATCCTGTCATCTTTGGTCTTCCATAAGGCATTTGCCATTTATGTAAAATGATAGATGGAGTAGGCAATGGTGTAGTGTGCTAGTCATAGAACATGGTCACACCACATTTTTCTTGTGTTTTCTCTATTACTGGTGTAACACCCATCTGCTATTAGACTGTGTCATTGTTAACATCACAAAGGGAAATGCCTAACTTTCATTGCATGTGAAGGACAGTCAACACTTTGATGGCTGGTCAGCATTCAGCATATACAATCTATTGTGTAGGCTATCATTTTACTACTTTTCATTTTAGGTGAATTGGTATATTTCTTGGTTTGCTTTTTTATTTGTATCCTGCTTTTATTGTTTTGCAAGTAACTCAAGGTGGTGCACACACCTTCTTTCTAAGTTCCCCAGAACAACAACCCTGTGAGGTGACTTGGGTGAATGAGAGACAGTGATGGCCCAAGGTCACCCAACTTGATTTCATATGCTATCGCAGAGTCCTCCAGCAATCAACTTCCATCATTTTGGGAATTCTGAAAAATGAGATTATAAAAGGCACATTTTATCAGCAATAATTATAATCAATCAGTGCTATAATCAATACTGGGGGTAGAGGAGAAATACCAGCATGACTCCACAAAGAACTCGCTGAAAATTGAAAGACAAAACGGACAAGCATAGAAAGTACAAAGGGGGGGCACATAACTAAGGAAAAATACCACATATGGTCCAAATCTGCAAAGATGAAGTCAGGAAAACTAACACTCAGAATGAGTAAGGGCTTGCAACAAATGTCATAAATAATAAAATGAACTGCTTTTAACATGTAAAAAGCAAGAAAAGATTTAAAGAAAGAACTGGTCTACTAATAGGA